CAATGAGGCTCCGCCCGCGCCCGGGGCGCCGCCTCCAGCCTTGGCCCCCGCCGCTGCTCCTCCAGGCGCCGTGGCGGGCCGTCCCTGGGGGGCGCCTCCTCAGCGCCGGGCCTTTCCCGGCCCGGGCCCCTCCGCCCCGGGCGACGCCCCTCTTCAGCGCTCCCTGCCTCCCCAGCACCTCGGCGCCCAGCGTCCACGGTGTCATTTCTGGGGTCTTACTGGACTCATGCAGAGGGTAAACAGACCCAGAGAGGGATAGGGGCTTCCCCAGGTCACAGAGCAAGGCTCTTGTGTCTCCCTCATTTTTTCCCCCTGGGCTCACTAATTTTTGGCTGTGTCTTCCACTTTCACGGTTCTCTTCCTCAGTTAAGAAGAGTCCATATTTCTGCATTTTAAAAAATGCATCTTTTTTTAATCCTAAGGACAAAAAGAATAGTTGCACAGGAGCTACGAAAACACAGAAAAGGCCGGGCCTGGGGGCTCCTGCTTGTAATTCCAGCTCTTGGGAGGTGGGATCGGGAGGATTGCTAGAGTTCAGAAGTTCAAGACCAGCCTGGAGAAAATAGCGAGCCTTGACTCTACAAAAAAGAAAAAGAAAACAGAAAGGTATGAAAAAAGAAGAAAAAAATCACCTGTCATCTCTTCATCTAAAACTAGTCATTATTACAGTTAGGTGTTCATCCTGCTGGTATTTTTTTCCTCTGCAGCTTTCAAAAATTCTTTTAATAAAAATGAAGTCACACCACAGTGACCTCTATTTGCTGCTTTTTGAAGACTTAGCAATATATTTTGAACTTTTCTCCTATTACTAATTACAAACGGCTTTACCCTCTCCAACCTCTCCAAGGTGGCATCAAATTCTGTTGCAGGGGTAAACTGTTGGTCATTAGATTGTTCCGTCGTGTTGCTATGAAGGATGACACATGGATGTCCTGAACATGCATCCCACTTACTCTGACCCCCATTGCACCCTCTTTCTGGTTGGAGAGGTCTGAAAGCAAATAGCTGTGTCTCCCATTTTGCAGCTGGAGTTCTGGATGGGAACTAGGTGCTGCCAGTTAGCAGTGCACCTGCCAGATATAGGAGGTGGGAATGGGTCACAGGGCATTGTCCTGCCCTTGTAGGGCGTCCCTAGCAGGATGGCAGAAATGTGAGACATCTGGTGGCAGTGTTCCCTGTGCCTTCTTCAGCTTCCTGGCTGGGAACTGGCAGCGGCAGTCACTCTTTGACTCCAACTCCCTGCTCTCTGTGGAGGCTGCAGGAGCATGTCATCAGTCACCAGGCTGGCAGGTCACATCCATAGTATCCTGGGAGTCTGTCCTGGTTGAGCTAACACCTGCTTCTGTCTCTAGCGCTCCAGCAGTTCTATTAGCGCCCACTTCTCTGCACTAAATCCCTACCTCTGCACATATGTAGAGTGTTCATGTCTAGCTGCTCGATCCCAATTCACATAGCTCTTTCCTTAAGCTATGAAATCTTTTGCTATCATATCATCCTTAGAATGTTCACAACACCTGCTGTAAAATTTAACCCTCCCTTAAGACACTATGGTTTTCATCATGTCACCTTGATGCTCACGCTTTCCTTAGTTTCCCCAGCAACTGTGTGAGCCCTTTGCAAAGCCCTTCCTGCCTTCGTCGCAACACGTGGACAGCCTAGTTCCCCTTGGGCACTTGCCATAGCTCTCCAAGCTTGATTGGCTTAATGATTAATAGACCAATTATTAACAGGCCTTATTGATAGAGGGAGTGAGTCTGTGACAAAGCGTGTATTGGTCCTCATGCAGTCAGACTGCACTGGAAAGCTGTGACAGGTCTGGAGGCCAGCAGTTGACAGGAAGTGGCCCCAGCGGGGTAGGGTTAGAGGCTGCGTCCTGTGAGGAACAGCTGAATGAACTCAAGGGATAAGGTCGTGCCCTCCAAATCTCT